TGTTACAGAGCCACCTCAGTCCTGCATCGCGTGGCCTCGGTCCTCGTTCTACAGCCTGAGTCCTGGATCTCTTGTCCTCCCTCAGTGTGGGCCTCCTCGAGGTTTCTCAATTTTCTCCCACTGGGTTTTTAGAGTGAGAGCGACAGTGGTTCAATTGGTAGAGCATTGGCCTTTGGGCCTGAAGGTTGTGGGTTTGAGCCCACCGCAAGACCGCACGACTCCCACTGATGACCGCTGTTATTTCCTTGGGCAACCCCACTTTGCCTGAAGCTGAAAGTTCTCAGCTCCTGTGGACTCACCACCTGCAGGAGGATCAGTGAGGGGCTGGTGCTCTGTGGACTGGGTGTAGTAATATTTATTTATAGACCGCCTTTTCACTGCACATCGGAGTCTCAAAGCGGTTTACAATTGTGGTTTTTGGGAGTGGGGGTGCCAGTACAGGAGGCACATGCCAGACCTATTGTACATATTTTTAGTGGTAGGGGAAACCGGAGCACCCAGAGGAAACCTATGCAGACACGGGGAGAACATGCAAACTCCACTCAGAAAGGCCCTGGTCCAACCGAGATTCAAACCCAGGACCTTCTTGCTGAGAGGCGAGAGTGCTATCCACTCAGCCACCGTGCAGCTCTGAATGCCACTCCCCGACCCAGAAATGGAATAATGGGAAGAAGATGGATGGATGGGTTTTTAGAGCTTTTCCTTTGTCGATGCAGGAGGGTCGAAGGACAGTGGTGATGATCCACGACACTCGACATTCAACAAAATTATATACATCTGTTTACATCTATTGCAGTTAGCAACCTTTTTCACACGGAGAGCTACTTTCCCGGGATGATAACGGCAGATTGCTACTTTGTTTAAGCGGCCCTGGGAAAAAACGTGGTGATATATTTGTGTAAACAAGCCTGATATCAAGTACAGTCATTTTTAAACATATCATATTTGTTACACGTGCTCACAGTAAGTTTGCATTTACAATATTAAATAATGATAATGAATAATACAATCTGAAATAAATAAGTATATTATTTGATTTGAATATTTGGTTTTATACCGATGTTCATTAATGTGCATTGTCCCTATCAAATAAATAAATAGATTTGTTCATTTTTAAATCCTTTAGTGAGCTACCTGGAAGGGGGTGGAGAGCTACTGGTGCCTCCCGAGCTACAGGTTGGAGTGCCCTGATCTATAGACATCGGTCATCTGTCCATTATGGATCAGTGGCTCTGTTTTTTCATTGATTCTCTGATCTGTGTTGGTGAATCGACAGTTTTGTAAAGTCCTTCAAGATAACTGCTGTTGTGATTTAGGGCTATACAAAAATAATTGTAATTGAATAAAAAGTTGGATTGTAGTATAGATCTCATAAACTTTATTTAAATCTTTAGAATCGTCCTCTTACAGACTGTCGAGGCGAAGCAGAGCCACGTGTAGCGACGACATCTGCGTCACATGACTGAAAAGCTGTTAGCTGTTGATTACATTAGCGGCTAAACATCATTAGCCAAGAAGACCAAGGTTATTTATTTACAAAATCATTTCCATTCACAATTACGGCTCAGTGTTGTAAACCATCTCGACAGTTGCTATAGTTTGCTTCTAAAAATGAAATAAGTTTCTGCTTTACTTTTCACTGCTGTTTAGTCAGAATGTTTTATCATGATCTAACTGAGCTCTAAATAATATGTACATCCATTAATGTGCATTTCAGAAGATAATTCCAGTTCAATTGATATGCAGCCATGTCATTTTTGTGACAGCTCTTATCTTGTTTACCCTCTGCACCTGCCACTGTGAACATACCTAATTGGTTTGAGGTCCATGTCTCCTCTCTTATTGGATGATCCGTGCACACACATGGGATCTGTTTTGTGGAGGCTGCTTCAGGGGCCAGTGCTGCTGTGGGCTGACCTTGACAAGGACCAGCACAGACCCAGTGATGGGAGCAGTGGTGCAGTCTGATTGGTCAGCCCAGAGGTCCGGTCACAGCTGATAGGTCGAGAAAGTGTTCCCGCCACCCCTCCCTCTCTTTGCTTGTGATGCAGAAGACTTGGATCAATGACTTGTACAGAAAGCCTTCTGAATGGACAGTTTTTGACACAGGCAAAAGGAAAGTAGCAGCAGTTGTTGTTGTAGTAGTCGTAGCAGTAGCAGCAGGAATAGTAGTAGTAGTTGTAGCAGGAATAGTAGTAGTTGTAGTTGTAGCAGGAGTAGTAGTAGTTGTAGCAGGAGTAGTAGTAGTGGTAGTAGTTGTAGCAGTAGTAATCATAGGAGTAGTCGTAGCAGCAGTAGTAGTCGTAGTAGCAGCAGCAATAGTAGTAGTAGCAGCAACAGTAGTAGTAATAGTAGTCGTAGTAGTAGCAGTAGTAGCAGCAGTAGTCGTAGTAGCAGTAGCAGTAGTCGTAGTCGTAGTCGTAGTAGCAGTAGCAGTCGTGGTAGTCGTGGTAGTAGTAGTGTCACGGGGTGAGCCGAGTGAGGACTCAAATGCAGGAGTGCCAACATAAAGCTTTTAATAAAACAAAGTCCAAGGCAAAAAACAAACTCCAGAAATCCAAAGTAACCAGGACAGAACATGACAAAACAATGAAGCAGCAACAAGGGGAGAGAAGCAAAGGGTACATATAGACACAGATGAAACACATCAGGGAAGGGCAGACAATCAAGACAGGGGAAAACGGCACTGGAAGTCAAACTGAAACAAAACCACAGAACTCATTTCAAAATAAAAGCAAAATACAACATCAAAATCCACACCATGACAGTACCCCCCCTCCAAGGGACAGCTCCCAGATGTCCCTAAAAACAAACACGAGCCAGGGAGGGTGGCGGGGGTCTGGAGGATGGGCCAGAGACAGGTCAGTAGTACGGAACAGATCAGGGACAGGAGCTGAAGTCCAGTGGCAACCTTCCCGAGGGTCTGGAGAGGACGAAGACATATGCCCGGCGGTGACTCAGGCTGGGGGCAGAACCACCCCAGACGAAGGTAATGTCTGGCGGCGGCAAGAGACAAGGGAAGGACAGGTCACCGTAGAACAGCAGACCGAGGGTGTGAAAACCGGTGCAGAACTCCACTGGCTACCTCTCAGCAGGACGGGCAGAGGGAACAGAGGACCACCCCGGACGGACATCAATGCCCGGCGGTGGTGCAAGACGAATAACCACCCCAGGCGGAGTTTCTTGCCTGGCGGTGGTTCCAGGTAACAGGTGCAAGAGGTAGGCAGTGAGGAAGGCAATTGGCACACCCAAAAAAAAAACTTGGGGGAAAAAAGGCAATCCGCTGAGTCCATTAGTGGCTGCTTCATTCTGTCACGGGGTGGGAAGGAGGAGGACTCAAAATGCGAGAATGCCAAAATAAAGATTTAATAAAATAAAGTCCAAGGTAAAAACAAAACTCAAAATACAGAACCAGGAGCACAAAATCAGGAACAGGACGAAACAGAAGTAGACAATACAATGGACCAGCAACAAGAGAAGAGGAGAGGAGCACAGGGTAATTATAGACAGAGACACAGGTGAAACACATTAGGGCGGGGTAGACAATCAAGACAGGGGAAACAGGACGTCAAAGTCAAACTAAAACCAAAGCACAGAGAACAGATATCAAAATAAAGCTAAAGTCCAAAATAACTTCCACACCATGACAAGTAGTAGTAGTAGTAAGTCATGCATAAAGTATTAGTATAATCCCAGTGCTATTGCATTATTTCAAATATCTACAAATCAATTCTAGCCTTTTGTGTTTAGAATTGATGTTTGTTTAGTTTTATTAGGCTTTATTTGGAACACAAACGGTCGAGACAGAAACAAAAGAGTCTAGGCTCAGACTGAAGTGATGTCACATGTTTTATAGTCCTGAAAACATGTTGCATGAAGACAGAATCTAAAGGTGACTTAAGTATTGGAGACACAGAGGTAAATCTAAAGGGCGGGGGATAATCTTATTTTTAAGTTCTCGTTGTCATTGCACTTGTACTTTTTTGTCCCAGTGGGAAATAAGTCTTGTACTGATCCTGTACTTTACTGTATCACATATAACATTTCTGCTGAAGACAATGCAAGCTGGGATGTTTTGCAGGTGTGAATTTGCTGAGTGCAAAGTGTGATATTTGTTCATGACAGAAGTGCAGGTGCAGGTGCTGGTTTAAGGTGCTGAAAATCACTTTATAGAAACGCAAACACAGTGTTCTGGATCAGTGTTTGGAGATGGATACAAGCATTAGTTACATGTTTAAGTCTTTTTACCTGCATTATAGCATTAACTAGTTGTAAAAACATGGACAATTGGACAGAGCACCCTTCTCCCCCTAAGTCTGGTCTCACTGCAAGTCCAAACCAACTCAAGCCGAATCAGCAGCGCGGCCGAGAGGAAAGTTTTGCACAGATACTATTAAAGTCGACAAATCTGGCACTCGCTATATTATATCAATAGAATAATCTTTAACTTTTATTTTGGAACACTGCTTCACACTGCTAATCCACATAATCCACCTGACAACTAAAACAGTCATTGAGTAGCGCATCTTGATAAATGTAAATCCGCTCTGCACAGTTGGTGGAACTCGTGACCAATCAGGGCGCTGCGTCCACAAACACATCTGCCACTGACAGAAACTAGTTTGTAATACTTTTCAAAGTAACTACCCCTCACTGGTTCAACACAGGCACATTGGACTGTTCCCCTGCCTCCCGCTCACTGCAGATTTATGCTCCTGTCCGGCAGACTGAGCTCCACAAATGGGATTGGACTTTAGAAGGAGAGGGGGCTGACTGACAAGAGCATCGACAGCTGAATCTATGGTCACACTGCACCCTCCCCACCCTCCTGCTCATCTTTGACATGTCCACTCTGTAATTTAGACATTAAGCAATAGTTTTTTAACCAAATGAAGTAAGTTTGCAGTAATCATTCCTTTTAACCTTCACAATTGTTTGTTTTTTTGTTGATGAGCAACATAACTAAAAATGTTATGGGTGGAAACATGCATTGCACGGCATCAATTTTGGATGTGATCCGATGGTGGTCTGTGCTCTGTCTGTGGTGTGACGCTGCCCTGGGCCTCTCGATGGAGGTCTGTGCTCTGTCGTGTAGTGTGACGCTGCCCTGGGCCTCTCAATGGAGGTCTGCGCTCTGTCGTGTGTGTGACGCTGCCCTGGGCCTCTCGATGGAGGTCTGCGCTCTGTCGTGTAGTGTGACGCTGCCCTGGGCCTCTCGATGGAGGTCTGTGCTCTGTCGTGTAGTGTGACGCTGCCCTGGGCCTCTCAATGGAGGTCTGTGCTCTGTTGTGTGTGTGACGCTGCCCTGGGCCTCTCGATGGAGGTCTGCGCTCTGTCGTGTAGTGTGACGCTGCCCTGGGCCTCTCGATGGTGGTCTGTGCTCTGTCGTGTAGTGTGACGCTGCCCTGGGCCTCTCGATGGAGGTCTGCGCTCTGTCGTGTAGTGTGACGCTGCCCTGGGCCTCTCGATGGTGGTCTGCGCTCTGTCGTGTAGTGTGACGCTGCCCTGGGCCTCTCGATGGTGGTCTGCGCTCTGTCGTGTAGTGTGACGCTGCCCTGGGCCTCTCGATGGTGGTCTGCGCTCTGTCGTGTGTGTGACGCTGCCCTGGGCCTCTCGATGGAGGTCTGCGCTCTGTCGTGTACAGTAGTGTGACGCTGCCCTGGGCCTCTCAATGGAGGTCTGCGCTCTGTTGTGTGTGTGACGCTGCCCTGGGCCTCTCGATGGAGGTCTGCGCTCTGTCGTGTAGTGTGACGCTGCCCTGGGCCTCTCGATGGTGGTCTGTGCTCTGTCGTGTAGTGTGACGCTGCCCTGGGCCTCTCGATGGAGGTCTGCGCTCTGTCGTGTAGTGTGACGCTGCCCTGGGCCTCTCGATGGTGGTCTGCGCTCTGTCGTGTAGTGTGACGCTGCCCTGGGCCTCTCGATGGAGGTCTGTGCTCTGTCGTGTGTGTGACGCTGCCCTGGGCCTCTCGATGGTGGTCTGTGCTCTGTCGTGTGTGTGACGCTGCCCTGGGCCTCTCGATGGAGGTCTGGCGCTCTGTCGTGTGTGTGACGCTGCCCTGGGCCTCTCGATGGTGGTCTGTGTTCTGTCGTGTGTGTGACGCTGCCCTGGGCCTCTCAATGGAGGTCTGCGCTCTGTCGTGTGTGTGACGCTGCCCTGGGCCTCTCGATGGAGGTCTGCGCTCTGTCGTGTAGTGTGACGCTGCCCTGGGCCTCTCGATGGAGGTCTGTGCTCTGTCGTGTAGTGTGACGCTGCCCTGGGCCTCACAAATCCCCTCTTTATTTCTCTAACTCTTCATGTCTATTCGATTATCACTCCCAGGATTTCTGCATTGCCGCTCTTAGCATTCAGAAAACCTCTTTGTCATGAAGACGAGAGAGCAGAGAGAAATGTCATGCGTTCTCGACCCAATATTGACTTTATTGGGAACTTGGTGGTCCCTCCCCCTTCCTCTGGAGCCAGGAATCCCCTGAAAAAGATCTCACTGGGACTTTCCTGGTTACATACATTTTGAGGCCGTTATCACTGTATTAAGAAACATCATATCAAAATTTAGAAAAATCATCGCAACTTACCCCAATATTATTATTATAGTGCACAGAGAATAATGTATCTTGTCATAAAGGTGTGGAACACGTGGGGTTTACAGCGGGATAGGGCTATACTTTGATCACAAGTCTGAGTGATAAAAGAGAGTTTAGTGTTAACACAACAGAATGATCCAGAACTGCACCGAGACGTTTTCTCCTTCAGTTTAAACACAGGCTAAACTTCTCGAGGCGACTGACAGATGAAAGCCGAATAACAATGTACCACTGCAACACGCGTAGAAATGTAATCAAGCAGACATCAAAAGATTCAAAGGCCTCATATTACGTTTGAATCATATTGTTACGATGCAGCTTTTGTTCGTACTCGTTTGTGTGGAATCTTTAGATATATGTGGAATTAAAACACAGCAACATCCTTATGGGAAACAGGTCTTGCCCTTATGGCCTAATTTTCAGCATTTCATTTCTAGTTTAAAAGTGTGAATATAGGCTGAAAATACATAGAAAAAGCAAAGGTCCTGCATCGTTCAAGTCCACAACGTTAAAGCTGCACATTTCTCTCATGCCTCGATATTGCATTGGTCACACTGGATTAACCATAAACGTGAATGATGTCTGAGGCTCACGAGAGCACTCTCTCTGTCTCTCTCTCTCTCTCTCCCCCTCTCTCTCTGTCTCTCTCTATCCCTTCCTCTCTCTCACTCTTTCTCCCTCTCTCTCTCTCACTCTTTCTCCCTCTCTCTCCCTTCCTCTCTCTCTTTCTCTCTCCCTCTCCTTCTCTCCCTCCCTCCCTCTCTCTCTCCCTCTCTCTCCCTCTCTCCCTCCCCCTCTATCTCTGTCTCTCTCTCCCTTCCTCTCTCTCTCTCTCTCCCCCTTCCTCTCTCCCTCTCCTCATTCTCTCTCTCCCTCTATCTCTCTCCCTCTCTCCCTCCCCCTCTTTCTCTGTCTCTCTCTCCCTTCCTCTCTTTCTCTCTCTCTCTCCCTCTCTCTCTCCTTCTCCTCCTCTCCCTCTCTCTCCCTCTCTCTCTCCTTCTCCTCCTCTCCCTCTCTCTCCCTCTCCTTCTCTCCCTCTCTCTCTTTCTCTCTCTCTCCTTCTCTTCCTCTCTCCCTCTCTCTCTCTCTCTCCCTCTCTCTCCCTCTCCTTCTCCTTCTCCTTCTCTCCCTCTCCTTCTCCTTCACTCTCTCTTCCTCTCCTTCTCTCCCTCTCTCTCTCTGTCTCTCTGTCTCTCTCCATCTCCTTCTCTCCCTCCCTCTCTCTCTCCCTCTCTCCCCTTCTCCCTCTCTCTCGTACACCGCGTGTGTGATGTGACTGTAAATCATACCCAAACCAGATTTACTGGAGCAGACTCTGAAAACAGCTCTATTTTTAGTTTGTGAGTTGGACGCTCCTCGGTTTTAGAGATGCACACAGGCAGGTGAGTGAAGGAGGGAGTAAAAATATCAAATGTGACCCAGCACTGACTTCCCCGCTGGGACAGAGGGTGCAAGCCTCGACTCCCTCTAAACAAGTTTTTCTGTGAGAGCATCCCGTGTGAGGAAGATGTGGATTGCTTCATCGTCGGCTTGGGCTTGGACTACTACTAGTAGTAGTAGCAGTAACTGTAATATGTCCTTGTAAATGGTTCAAGCTGTACTAGTAGTAGCAGCATTGACAGAGGTTGTTCTAGTAAAGGACATTTGTACAGAAATGTGAGAAGCTGCAGTACACAAAACAGCGCGACAATGAAAGCAAAAACATTATCATTTGTCAACGCGACCGTATAATTAGTTTTGTTCAAATCTTGTATGAAAATTTTGCTTCTCAGTGATAATTTTTTCATAAAATAGTAGGTAAAAGGTATTTCAGTTTCTGTCCCGGATCTGTGTATTTGTGTTTTCACTTAAAAAAAAAGGATAACAACCAAAAAAGACCTAACCAATCAAATTTCTTCCACTTTATTGCAGAGGCAGTAGTCTCAGATACATTTCCTTGTAAAATAGGCCAGCCTGTCTAACTGGAGTTGGCCATAGAAAATAAGAAATGGAAATGTTTTGGAGCTAAATCTTCTGGCATCTTCCTGAAAACGCGAGCCAAACCTGTACATAACCGACGCACAAACCCGTGTTCACATTTGCTGTTAGTGAAACTGGAGACCTGCGCAGAGCTGAACTGTGGGAGCTTCACTACACATGAAATATTCAAAGAGATGTATAATTTACATCAGCCACAATACACACGAAGCACTGCGAAGATAAGGATTTAGTATTTCATGTTTCTCGAGTAGCAGAAGTAGCAGTGGAAGTAGTAGTAGTAACAGGAGTAGTAGTAATAGTTGTTATTGTTGTAGTAGCAGTGGTTAGTAGTATTAGAAGCAGCAGCAGTCATAGTAATAGTAGTAGCAGCAGTAGTAGTAATAGTTATAGCAGTAGCAGTATTTAGTAGTTAGTAGTAGTAGTAGAAGCAGCAGCAGCATACTTGTAGTAGTAGTTGTAGTAAGTAACTTTATTTATAGAACGCCTCTCACAGAGATTGACTCACAAGGCGCTCACAACAAGAGACAGTAGCAGTAGCAGTAGTAGTAGTAGTAGCAGTAGTAGTAGTAGTAGTGGTAGTAGTTAGTAGCAGTAGTAGCAGTAGTAGTAAGTAGTAGTAGTAGTTAGTAGCAGTAGTAGTACAGTAGCAGTAGTAGTAGTCGTAGTAGTAGCAGTAGTAGTAGTAGTAGTCGTAGTAGTAGCAGTAGTAGTAGTAGTAGTAGTAGTAGTAGTAGTGGTAGCAGTAGTAGTTATAGTTGTTCTACTAGCCGGTAGTTGTATGTGGCTCTTTGAAGTGATGCACATGATTGACAGATTTACATGCTTCTTTATCAATGGGATTAAAATGGAGTAGGTTTTACACTAGCACTCTGTGTATTCTTATTTGAGTTGTTTACTATTGTTTACTATATTTTATTTATCTTTTTTATTTATCTTTACCTCAAACAACAAAGGCGTTCAAAACATATAATTTACTTACATTGTTATCCAAACCTTATCTGGTAAACAGATACAAATTTATTTCTGATGTCATCTTGTCAGGATTGTCACCTGGTTTGAGTCCATTAAAATCCTGGATTAGTTCCGGGTTTAGTCCCAAATGTACTTGGTAATAGTGCAGTATAATAATAGTCAGTGTATACCATGTACAGTGCCTTGCGAAAGTATTCGGCCCCCTTGAACCTTTCAACATTTTGCCACATTTCAGGCTTCAAACATAAAGATATAAAAATTAAGTTTTTTGTCAAGAATCAACAACAAGTGGGACACAATCGTGAAGTGGAACGAAATTTATTGGATAATTTAAACTTTTTTAACAAATAAAAACTTAAAAGTGGGGCGTGCAATATTATTTGGCCCCCTTGCGCTAATACTTAGTAGCGCCACCTTTTGCTGCAATTACAGCTGCAAGTCGCTTGGGGTATGTCTCTTATCAGTTTTGCACATCGAGAGACTGGAATTCTTGCCCATTCTTCCTTGCAAAAAAGCTCGAGCTCAGTGAGGTTGGATGGAGAGCGTTTGTGAACAGCAGTCTTCAGCTCTTTCCACAGATTCTCGATTGGATTCAGGTCTGGACTTTGACTTGGCCATTCTAACACCTGGATACGTCTATTTGTGAACCATTCCATTGTAGATTTGGCTTTATGTTTTGGATCATTGTCCTGTTGGAAGATAAATCTCCGTCCCAGTCTCAGGTCTTTTGCAGACTACAACTCCAACAGGTTTTCTTCCAGAATGGTCCTGTATTTGGCTCCATCCATCTTCCCATCAATTTTAGCCATCTTCCCTGTCCCTGCTGAAGAAAAGCAGGTACAAACCATGATGCTGCCACCACCATGTTTGACAGTGGGGATGGTGTGTTCAGGGTGATGAGCTGTGTTGCTTTTACGCCAAACATATCGTTTTGCATTGTGGCCAAAACGTTTGATTTTGGTTTTATCTGACCAGAGCACCTTCTTCCACATGTTTGGTGTGTCTCCCAGGTGGCTTGTGTCAAACTTTAAACGAGACTTTTTATGGATATCTTTGAGAAATGGCTTTCTTCTTGCCACTCTTCCATAAAGGCCAGATTTGTGCAGTGCACGACTGATTGTTGTCCTATGGACAGACTCTCCCACCTCAGCTGTAGTTATCTGCAGTTCATCCAGAGTGATCATGGGCCTCTTGGCTGCATCTCTGATCAGTCTTCTCCTTGTTTGAGATGAAAGTTTGGAGGGACGGCCGGGTCTTGGTAGATTTGCAGTGGTCTGATACTCCATTTCAATATAATTGCTTGCACAGTACTCTTTTAGATGTTTAAAGCTTGGGAAATCTTTTTGTATCCAAATCCAGCTTTAAACTTCTCCACAACAGTATCTCGGACCTGCCTGGTGTGTTCCTTTGTCTTCATGGTTCTCTCTGCGCTTTAAACAGAACCCTGAGACTATCAAAGAGCAGGTGCATTTATACGGAGACTTGATTACACACAGGTGCATTCTATTTATCATCATCAGTCATTTAGGACAACATTGGATCATTCAAAGATCCTCACTGAACTTCTGGAGTGAGTTTGCTGCACTGAAAGTAAAGGGGCCGAATAATATTGCACGCCCCACTTTTCAGTTTTTTATTTGTTAAAAAAGTTTAAATTATCCAATACATTTTGTTCCACTTCACGATTGTGTCCCACTTGTTGTTGATTCTTGACAAAAAAAAATATTTTTTATATCTTTATGTTTGAAACCTGAAATGTGGCAAAATGTTGAAAGGTTCAAGGGGGCCGAATACTTTCGCAAGGCACTGTAACTTCAGTCAAAAACAGTCCTCTTCCACAATAGGACATATTTTCAGAATGACCTTGATTTTGTGCCAAACCGCAGCAGTTGAACCTCAGCCTTTGCCATATCAATAACCTGGGTGCTCGTGTGTTGCTGCTGCGCTGTGGTTTTCAGGTTACTGCTGACTGTATGTTTGAATATTACTCAAGATTACCATTAGTGTGTGCTTACATAAGTCACCTGAACTATTGATCTGTATCGCACCACTTAACCCTGCTCAGTACATCAGCTTAAGATATTGCCTCTTTGAACATCCACCGTGGAGCTGTCTTCACTGCAAAATGCTATATAGACCTTTTTGTTGTTAGCTTTGATCACTTAAGGCTTTATAAATGAATTAAAATAGCTTCTAAAATACGTCGCACCATGAATTATGTAGGCAATAGTGAACCCCAGGCTAATCTTATGGGCCGCTGCTAAAGTCCTTTGGGAAATCAGGTCTCACGTGTCACTTTGAGTCCTCAGCTTTTGTCAAATATGATCGATTTTATTTCAGACACTTCACTTCCTGTGTGACCTCTGACGTACCACTCAACCATGTCTTTATCTACGGGATACGGCCTTTGGTTATCAAGGCACAACACAGATAGATACAGTAGATAGATAAAGACAGAGAGAGAGAGAGAGAGATAGATAGATACAGTAGATTAATTCTTACTGGCAGCGAACACAAAAAATTGTCAAGTAAACTAATTTATGGGGCGTTACTTTTGTTTTAAAAGCCATAAAATTACTCTGAATCTGATGTCATAGTGGTATAATGACGCCATACTATTACAGGACTGAGAAAGGAGTTTTTAGACAGAAGGGGGTGGAGTTACATGTTTGTGCCATGCTCCTGATATTGGCGTGGTTGGAGCTAAAAACAACTCCAGGTTTTTTATGAGGAACTAGGTAGAAACATAGACAAAATCCCCCCAAAAAAATTGAGTTTGCGAAAATGTTGAAACCTTCCTTTTCCAGACTTCCGTATCCACGCAGACTTTCTACTAATACTTTTTCTCACAACAGGCATCTCATATTTCATATCGAAGAATTTTGAATCATCCCTCTGGCATCAAAATCCAATATGGAGCCTTCACAATGTGACGTCACTCGTTACATCATCCTCAGCTCTTGTGACCGTTCTCTGCTGTGTGTCTCTGTAGCCACGCCCCCTCGACTCCGGCCCATGCGCGGGCAGACGCTGGCGGAAGGCGAGCGGCTCTACCTGAAGTGCGAGGCGGCCAGCAGCCCCAGTCCCGGCTTCAGATGGTACAAGGACGGCCACGAGCTGCAGAAAGGACGAGACCTCAAGATCAAGACCAACAAGTGAGTCACACATTTTAATCATAGACTGTATATAGGAATGGGCTAAGGCTAATCTGCTGGCTCTTTGAAGGCTAATAAGGCTCATGGGCGAAGTTTTGCTCCTACTAGCTTTGTCTTCCAGGTGTGTCAAACTGGTCCTCAAAGGGCTGGTATGGCTGCAGGTTTTAGTTCTAACAGCAGGAGCACACCAGACTCCACCCATTTCCTCAGGTGAGTCCAGTTATAACCAGAAGAATGGAGGAAATGGGTGGAGTCTGCTGTGCTCCTGCTGAGGATGGAGCGAAAATCTGCAGCCACACCTGCCCTTTCTGGAACTGGTTTACCCATGCTCTAGCCGTTTGTGTCCCATTCACTACAAAGTTGGTGATTTTTAACGCCCTTCAGATGCAATTTCAAAATGGCTTTAGCTTGAGAGCCAGAACGAACCAGTGCTGTTCCTGAGTGGCTCGTTGGTTGCTAGGCCGTTGCTACCTACACCTTTTGGCTCCGTTTCCTCCCGTCAGTTTCTTCCACATTAGGCTAACAATATAAGTGACATCTAGTATTCCTAATTTCCCATTCATAACACCTGTGTGAATTATATTAAATTAAATTAAATATGTGTGTAAAGTAAGTCTATGTACACACTTTAAAGTTTGTGTAAAGTTCTAGCTTAAACTAAAGGGAAAAGGATATATTTTTAATCTGTTGTGGGATTTACATAGCAGTTATGTTTATATATTATATATATATAATATATAACAGTTATAACAGCATAACAGCAGTTAACATTTATGCTTTAACTTGAATCTGATTGTAAGTGTACATTGTATTGCACTATGGGGATTTTATCATTTATCCTGGTTAAATAAATGCCAATAAAAGTAATTTAAAATCCACCTTCTCCTCTTTTTGACATAAATGGCCTTAAATATTTCTTCAAAAGGTCTTGAACTTAGACTCTGTCGAATAAAATGTCAAGGAAGAACAAGGAAGTAGGTGTTTGAATTCGTATGCCTTTCATTGCATTTCGGAAATGCAATGAAACGCTCCGTGTGAAACAAGCTCTGTGCAGGCAATGACATTTTTATCACAGTTTTTTGGTATTTAAGCCTCAATAATTACTTTATCAACTTATCGTTCCATAACTGATGGGTAAAAATATATATCTTGGGTTTCAATATTTATCGTCTGCTCATTTTCTTAGAGAAAGTGGAGACATTTGTGTAATTTTCTTAGCAAAATTTATGTTTTATCTGTTCAATATGAATAATTATGACTAAATTCTACCGTTTCTTTTCATAACTCATTCTTTTAAAGTGAAAATGGACAAATGAAAAAAAATGCTTTACTTGTATCGTCCTTATTGTGCTAGCATCAGAGACTAAAGTCGTCTAGTATTATCGTTTATAAAGAGTTCATTTAAATTAGTATTTTTTTAGGTCATGTGATACACTGTAGGGCAGGGGTCTCCAACTGTCTTCAATTGGAGAGCTACTTTTATACAAACAAAGAGGCAGAGAGCTACTCCTTTTTGCTGCCGTGTAATAATCTATCTAAAAATTACAACAAAACATGTAAAAAAGATGTAAAGAAAACCATAATACTGCATAACCCTATATTTATACTTATAATAGACATGTAATGGCTCAAAAAGTATTAATTTGGTCATTCACAAGATCATTTGCTAAACTCTAATTCTTTTGGCGAGCTACCTGAAAGCTACAGGTTGGAGACCCCTGCTTTATGTTATATCCTCCTAACACTGACCAGACTTGTTTTGTTGTATTTGCTCCTTTCTTCACACTTTCTCAAAAGAATCTCCAAGGATTATTCTTTATTTTAAACACAGCAGTTCATTCTCTGGGTAAAACAGCGGAGCAGCCGGTTTTTTTATTTGTCCAGTACTCATCAATTAAGTTTCCTATGCTTTAAAGGTAATTTACACAACTTCTTTCCATTCATATTTTATCTGGTTCAACTGAAAGAGTCTGGTAAAAGTAAAATGGAATGAAATACCACAATATTCTGTCTTCATCTTTTTAGATTTTTTAAAATCTTTTGCTTACTTCTGTATGTAGCCAATATTAGACGCTTTAGGCTGAGAGCTGATTGGCTGAGTGAGGGTGGTCCTCTCAGTTTCACTCAGGCAAGTGAAAAGTAGTATCACGCCTTTCCTACACAAAGCACCTCACAACCCAAATCACATCAGAGTAGATTTTAATCAAACATTAAAATATACATGAAAAAATATGATTAAAAAATATGACAACATTAAGGTCACAAGAAATATATATTTTAAGACTTTCACAAGGAAAAGTAACTGTTTTAGTTAGTTAGATGCTTTGTTGATCCCCGTAGGAAAAATTCCGGTGTCCAATAGCATCAAAAACACATCCATCCACACCACAAACAAAACAAATTAAGTAGATTATTCTAAAAAGCCATCGATAGTAATAATAAGCAACAGTTTTAGTGAACTAATTAGATCAGGGGTGTCCAAACTTTTTAGTGTGAGAGCCACTATAGATCACCAGACCAGATTGGGCTTTTACATGGAGGATGATGTTCTTCCAAAGGTGCTGAGCTTTACAACGAGGTACATTATGACTATATTGGTGGAGCAGAAGTTGGCTGGATGACACTGTGAAAGTTTCTCAATGACTGATTTTGTGTTAGTTGCAGAGGACATGCAGTAAAATGACACCTTGAGCCTTACTTTGGAAATCTCTGAGTTATATGGATTGTATTACCCAATTTCATTTTTCTTGTGTTTTGAAAGTTAGATTCTCCAGCTTTAATCCACATTTAGTCTAAAAGGTTCCTTATGTTTTTGTCTCTATAGAAAAAACTCCAAGCTGCAGATCAGCAGAGTGCGTGTGGAGGACTCGGGGAACTACACCTGTGTCGCGGACAACTCCCTCGGACAAGAAAACGCCACCAGCTTCATCAGTGTACATCTATGTGAGTCACGCAGCTACAGCTCTGTCACGGTCTCCTCCTGGTCAATGGTCCACCTGGTAATAGCAAGTCCACCTGGTAATAGCAATACATGTTTTTAAGATAGCACATTTGCATTTTTGTTGAACATTTAAAACCAAATCAAGCTACTTAAAGGGTATTTAGGATGATTTTGCCGAAAGTCCTGCCTCTTTGAACAAAAACGTATTATCCACTGGGCCTCTACTGTCTTTCACATCTTCTCAAAGACACACATAATTTTTGCATTTTAGCTGAAATCAGAACCAGAATAAGCTGCTAAACGGCTACATGTAGCTTTTGTCAGTATATGTCAGTATATACCAGTAATTTATGATAATATTCAAGATAAGATATTCCTTTATTCGTCCCACAGTGGGTAAATTTCAGAGTTTAAAACATTCTTTGTATTTTTGTCGCATTAAAAAACACCAAGCTGCAGATCGTACACTAAAATGGCAAAAGGGGACTCGTGATTGAGCCAGACCAATTATTGCCGTGCTCATTACATGTTCAATTGGTACCAACATCTCCCTAAATACCTTTAACCTTGTTAATTAGTTGTAGGGCTTTTCGCAATTCCAAAACAGAAATGAACGGGAAACGCGGAACTTTCAATTATGTTTTTCTGCTGTCATTATGCAAAGTATTTATTTATTTGTTCCTTTCATGAAAATGGCGTTATTCTCAGTACGTTGTTCACATATTGATGATAGTTACAATATATCTTTTCAAACATTTACGAGGAGCAGAAAATAAAAGACAATTCTTATATTTTTCTGCCTCTTTTCAATATCATACACACAAGTGATGATCTTCCATGACTTTTCCCCCGGTACAATATTCATCAAAAGAAATAAAAACAACAACATTTGCCTACATTTATACAGTTTTACAACCTTGACCCACTTGTAAGCAACGGGCTATGGGACAGTTTGGTTTTATTGCTGTCTAAATTACCGATATTTTTGTTCCCACTGAATACGCCTCGGAGAAAAGACTATTTCACAAGGCAGGTTAAATGCAGGGTTGTTTTGACACGCCAGCCTGTGTCTCCGAGCGTGTAAGGAAAAGGCAATGCAAGGTTTTTGATTGAATATCCAGTGTTTTTGCGTGTTGGGAATGAGACTAAATCTTGTCTTGACATAAATCTCTAACTGTGTGTTTGTCAGTGAGCACCACCAGCCCCCCACCTGGAGTGAGTTACGCTCGCCCCTGTAACGAGTCGGAGAAGGCCTACTGCGTGAACGGAGGAGACTGTTACATCATCCACGGCATCAACCAGCTTTCCTGCAAGTAAGACTCCGAACACGCTCTGGAAGCAGCACTCGTTGTATCCGGATGAGAAGAGGGATTAGATGTTCAGTGGAAACAGAAACTAGCAGGATTCGTTGGACGTTATTTTTTTCTTTTAGCCGCATACATATGGTATAGGGGGCAAAAAATGATTTAGTCAGCCACAAATTGTGCAAGTCCGCCCACTTAAGATAAGATAAGATAGACTTCTCACACAGGAGTTTTGGCATGGAAACACTCAAGGTTGTAAAAAAGAAATAAATGTGCAAACATGTTAAATGCAGGATATATTATGTACAATAAAAAGTGGCAATCAAGAAACAGTGTCAATAGTAGTGCAGGTTTTTTCAGTCCTAATGCAAGTGACTTAAAATGACTTATTGTACAAAGATGAGAGAAGCCTGTATTTTAAGTATATCTTAATTGAGAGACAAAATCAGAAAACGAAATCACATGAATTTGAAAGAATTAATTTTAAAATGATGGCGGAAAATAAATATTTAGTCTCAACCCCATTGAAAACATTTGTAGGGAGTTGAATGCCCAGTGACAGCCAGAACGGAAACGGTCGGAGGAATGGGCCAAAATACCTGCAGTGCGAGAAATCCTTTGACTTACTAACAAAGTATTGAGATGGATTGACAAACAAATAAAAGAATCAGACATTATTTTCTGATTTTGTCTCCTAGGTAGGTGAGATATACCTATGATGAAAATTACAGGTACAGTATCTCTCTGGTTTTTAAGTGGGAGTACTTGCAAAATTGGTGGCTGATTAAATACTTTTTTGCCCCACTGTACATTTGAAACGCAGTATAATAAATGTAAATGTAAAACGTTCTTTCAGGGAATAATAATCCCTACTGGTGGAGAGTTTTGATCAGTCTCACCGAGTCTTTGGGCTATGTTTCCTGTGTCAGTCCAAATTCTTTATAATCTCCAAACTCTTTTATGTGAGCACTGCTGTCGGACGTTGCTGAAGGAGAGATGGGATTTGTTGTGAGCTGCTGACGAGCAGAAAGTGAATTCCAGGGTGAATCTGCACATTACGGCGTCAGAGCTGCAGATGTAAATGAGCTGCACACTCAGCCGGTGAATCTGGGGTTTTTTAAGTCCCGCACGTCACAGGGTCACAGCTGCATGCGGTCAGCTTTGGTGTCATCGTCATCAATGTGAGGTCCGCATGGGAATGACTCTGTGGTTGTGCGTCCAGATTCCAAAGTGACCCGGTCTGGTGTAGGTTGTGTCCCGGGAAGATGAGGCTGAAGGAGAAGCTCATACAAATCATAATGAGGGATATGAGGGAAATATTTATAATTGGCTTGTGCAATTTGAGAACAGTGTAAGATCCTCGGACCTCAACCATCTCGCTCTTCCTCATGTAAAAATAAAAGTAGTATAAGCAGCTTTCTCCCATGATTCTCCTCACTGACTTCAAACGTGCTGCGATGTTGAACTCCTTTAGGATTTAACTAGACTCAGACTTTGATTTCTGTAGACTCTCTGATGCATCTCTACTTGTTAATGAATCTCAAGGTCAGCTGAGACTCCTGTCCTGGGTCCTCCCCTTGTCTCCTCCCGGCGGCGTCCAGAAGGTTTTCTGAAACACAGGCCTGAGCCACCTCAACTGGCTCCTATCGGCTTTGAGGAGCTCCTTTCATTGATCTGAGCTTCTCAACGGCCGTTACTCAAAGCTCACGACTGTAAGTGAAGGCACGACCATAGACTGAGCTTTGCCTTTGGACTCAGCTCCGCCTTCACTACAACAGTCTAAACAGCTCTGACTGCAGACGCTGCTCCCTCTTCACCACAACAGTCTGATTAAGCTCTGACTACAGACGCTGTTCCCTCCTCATCACAACAGTCTGATACAGCTCTGACTGCAGACGCTGCTCCCTCTTCACCACAACAGTCTGATTAAGCTCTGACTACAGACGCTGTTCCCTCCTCATCACAACAGTCTGATACAGCTCTGACTACAGACGCTGTTCCCTCCTCATCACAACAGTCTGATACAGCTCTGACTACAGACGCTGTTCCCTCCTCATCACAACAGTCTGATACAGCTCTGACTACAGACGCTGCTCCCTCCTCATCACAACAGTCTGATACAGCTCTGACTACAGACGCTGCTCCCTCCTCATCACAACAGTCTGATACAGCTCTGACTACAGACGCTGCTCCCTCCTCATCACAACAGTCTGAATAAGACCTGAGATACAGACTCTCCTCTACTTGAGAAGTATGTACTGCATTAAATGTGCTACAGAAATAAATGTTCTTCCTTCCTTTTTGGTTGTTTAAGGCTATGGCAACTTATATAACTCAAAGAACATGGAAGAGCAGATATAAAGGCACAAAAGGATCTGCCTCTTACTGGACTGAATGAACAATGCTATGTTAAAGCTGTAGAAACATAACCTCTCTTTAAAGAGCGACTAAACACCTGTGCCCAGCCTTACTCCGCCCACATGAAGATTTGAAAATGTTCTCTTAAAAGGGCGTTGCCTGGAGGACCAAGGGACAAGAAGGGGGGCTTAGAGTTGGGCGTGGTCTGGATTGACAGCTCACTTGTCACACAAAAAAACAGACAGTTGTCATTGCTGCTTAAAGCAATAGTTTACAGACCAGAAAGTCTCATTCCACCCTTGTTTACACACTAAGATAATTGTAAAGCTACACACCTGAACCTAATCACACTCAATAATCTCAGAATCACTCATGTAATTTAATTTTAATCCACTAGATGGCGCCAGAATACTCCAAACTGCAGCTGGGGCGTGTGTGAGAGTTGGATGGGTTCACATCACTGGCTCTGACAGACTGACGTCACACAAAACAACTGATGTCATAGGCCCCGTCCCAATACTCGCACTTCCACCCTTGCGCCCTTCATTTGCGCGTTCCCGATAAAGGGTGCGAGTGCGTAGGGTGTCCCAATTCTCCAGGGAGGTCTTTGGCCCCGCCCCCTTTGCGCCCCTGATCCACACTTCGCCGTAGCCTGCATCTAAGCGCACTCTGGCGAAGGATATTGCCCATAATTCTTTGCGGTACACACCAAAACGTCGGGAAAATGCATTTAAATATAAATGTTGAAATATATATGCTGTATGTGTGTAAATAAGTTTTGCTATGTTACTTGGAAAGAAGCATAAACGTCTGATGAAGAATTACGGACATTGTGTTTTAACAATTTAATAACTTTTTAAAACAAGCGTTTATATAACATTCAATTTAAACTTTACACTTAGTACAATCATCTTAGAATGTATAAAAACTGACCAGATAGTTAGTTACCCACATTTAACTTAAAATTATACAGCTATCTCTAATTAAAAAATACATGTATTTTAACGTGTGTGAAGCAATTCATTTTGTTTCCCAAAGGGTCAGACAAAATTACCTTTAATGTTTATAAAGTGTAGGTCTGAAAATGACCATCTCTTGATGAGTCGATGACGTAACCTGCACTCAGGGTGCACTGTCCCAATTCTGCCTTTTTTGCAACCTGCGCCTTTTACTTGTAACCTGCGCACTCAAACCCTGGTGTGCACTTCGAACAAATGCACACTTCATAGGAGGGCGTAGGGTGCAGTGTGGGTATTGGGACTGGGCCATAGAGAACTTCAGAGTCAATGGAGGCCAGGACCAAATTCAAATGTAGTACCACCAAAAAGGTTGAGAGGGCGCCACACAGACATTTTTTGGCTCAAAAGTGATATTTTATCTAATTTTAACTAAAATGTAAAAAAAATTACTAGGATATGTAGAGAGCACTACAATAAACATATTTATGGAGTTTATGAGTTGAAAAAAGTTGATTTGGCGTTTAGTCGCTCTTTAAGTGTGATGGATCATGTTATTCAGCTCCAGTGATATTGTTGTTTGTAAACCAGTCGGAAGAATGCATACACAGCTATTACCTTTAAAACATGCTTGCAGAAAGACTTGACATTTAATAATATCTACAGTATGTTTGCTAAATGTATACAAACAGAAGGTGAAGGCCATTCGCTCTGTCGCTGCAGGCTGCAGACTGCGGCTCCTCGCCGTAATGAGTGAATTGGTAAACAGGAAACATTATGGCTGCACATTCAGAGCTATAGGCTGCAAATGCCAGGTCCCCCTTTAGCGGATCAATAAAGTTCATTTAATCTAATCTAATCTACAAATACCACGAGGCGCTGTGCTGCTGCTGTCATGGATTCAGCGACAGAGCGTCAAGTCAACACTAAAACACATGCGTTATTTGACTATTAATTAAGTCTGAGGAGAAAGTGTTCACAAACCAATACCATCAACAAAGGCCACAAAATGATTCAGAGAAAAGATTTTCAATTTCAGACTAAAATTTCATCAAAAAATATTTATTTAGATGCATTTTTGTGTCAACCCATTTGTTAGTCAATTTCTGGGTCGGGGGGGGGAGGCAATTGGAGCTGCCACCCAATGCTCAAAGCACCGGTCCCTCACTGGTCCTCTGCAGGTGGTGGGGTCCACAGGAAGATGGCTGCTACAGTGGTGCCACAGCCTTGGTGTTTCAGTGGGAGCTGCAGGCAATGTGGGGTTAAGTGTCTTGCCCAAGGACACAACGACAGCAGACATTAGTGGGAGCAGTTGGAGTAGGTCGCGTGATGGGTTCGAACCCACAAAGGCCAATGCTCTACCAACTGAGCCACTGTCGCCCCACGGTACCCTACCGTGTAACGCAAATACCAAAATATACAATATTATTAAAGCTAGGAGACACAACTATCTTTTCCTACACAATACATTTTGTTTTTGTCCCAACAGAAAGAGTCTTACAAAAGTCAAATTAGGTATTGTATTGTATGACTCTTTGGCTGAGAGCTGATTGGCTGAGTGAGGGTGGTCCTCTCTTTTTCACTTCTCAGTCTGAAAAATCTGATCAAAAGCTGTGACACACAGATGTGAAAACTAGTGATGGAGTTTTGAGAGCGAGGAACTAGTTAGATTGGTTTAAGGATATCGTTCCATGTTTGTGGTTGGAAAGTTAGCTACCCCAGCTTTAAAGCTGCACTAACTGACTTTGGGATTTTGAAGCTGCAGACTCGCTGGCCTCTCTCTTTCTGCTCCCCTCCCCGCACCCACGAAGCTATCGCCCCCCACACACACCCACTGTTGGGACGGAGTTAGTGTCTCCCAATATGGATAATACACGAATATGGATTTGCACGTGGATGGCGTGACCATAGAACGATAGAACCGGGAAGAGCGGAGGAACGGGGCTTTCTTTTGGATGGCTGTCTCGCTGTGTAAGCAGTAACCGGTGACGAAGACACAAAGCTTCAGGTTAGCTCCTCGGCTTGTTGTGCTAACTCAGTTGTCTGTGCTAACGGACCTGTAGATTTCTCACGAAAGTGGGGGCTAGTGGTCCGCTGCGATTGGTCACAATCCGCGACCCGAAACACATTCTCTTCCTTGTTTCATCAAAACTCGATCTAAATTATAATGTCAGGCCAGCACAAATCTGCACTACTTTTTCTTCAAAATGATGTATATCCCAATACACTACATGGACATGGATAGCATTTTCGTAATGAATACAAAAATAAAGTCAGTTAGTGCAGCTTTAACGTAGGACCGGGAACAGGGCATTGCCGAGGGGGAAGGGCCGGCACAGACGATAAAACAAAGTAAAAAGTAACGTTTTCCTCTGGGGCTCAAACACACGATGGCCCACTGCCCAGTTTTGTGTCTGTGTGGTTTGCGAGACCTGCTCTAAAACATTTCCAGAGAACAGTAGAGTCAGGACGAACGCACACACGGCATCTAATAAAACCTACAGAAGACATGACACTCTATTACACACACACACACACACACACACACACACACACACACACACACACACACACACACACACACACACACACACACACACACACACACACACACACACACACACACACACACACACACACACACACACACACACACACACACACACACACACACACACACACACACACACACACACACACACACACACACACACACACACACACCCACACACACACACACACACACACACACACACACACACACACACACACACACACACACACACACACACACAACCGCCTCACGATTTCTTCCTACTGTCTCTCTCTCCCTCTCTCTCTCTCCCTCTCTCTCTCTCTCTCTCTCTCTTGCTCTCTTGCTCTCTCTCTCTCTCCCTCTCTCTCGCTCTCTCTCTCTCTCTCTCTCTCTCTCTTGCTCTCTCTCTCTCGCTCTCTCTCTTGCTCTCTCTCTCGCTCTCTCTCGCTCTCTCTCTCTCTCTCTCTCTCTCTCTCTCTCTCTCTCTCTCTCTCTCTCTCTCTCTCTCTCTCTCTCTCTCTCTCTTGCTCTCTCTCTCTCTCTCTCTCTCTCTCTTGCTCTCTCTCTCTCTCTCGCTCTCTCTCTCTCTCTCTCTCTCTCTCTCTCTCTCCTGAGCTATTTATAACTCTCTGGGAAATTGCTGAGTAGGCCTTTCTTTTGCTGTAATTAATTTAAAATGCAACTTGTCTTTTTTCTTCTTGGTGAGAAAGAGTAGAAGAGAAGCCGCCCGTCACTTTTCTGCACGAGGACGAGAATTTCCTTAGGATTTAGCGTTGACCAAGTGACGCAAGGGCAGCATCCGAATCCACATGAGGCGTACAGAGTCGCAGAGAATTCCCTGCTGTGTACATGTCTGAGTTTTTAGTCAACGATTTCAGCCTATTTATATTTGATGTTTATCTAAAAATATTTGAGAATAAAAATATTCCTATATTCCTTCAGTTTCCAATAACATAAGTTTATACATAATTAACCAGTTTTTCAGATGTATGTACCCAACATTCTCATCAGTACACATATTTATATATATTTCGGTCCTTCTTTGTTTAATGTGCAGTATATCTATATAGACAACATCAAAACCAAGACTGGGAAATTCAAGTTTGTTTGTTTTGTTTTAGACTGATCTAAATGTTATACGTGATTTTTGATACTTTTGCTGTTACTACCACCTTATCTTGTGATTAATGACACTAAGCAGCTCCACAACCACAGACTGATAATAGACCCCTCTGCGGTTCACTCCAGTTTTGATGATGCCATGACCTCCTCTTCGTCTATGGCCTGTTTCTAATCGTTTATCCTAGCTCCTCTCTCCTAGCTCCTCTCATAGCTCCTCACTCCTCTCTCCTTGCTCCTCACTCCTAGCTTCTCTTTCCTAGCTCCTCTCTCCTCACTCCTAGCTCCTCTCTCCGAGCTCCTCTCTCCTAGCTCCTCTCACCTAGCTCCTCTCTCCTAGCTCCTCTTTCTTAGCTCCTCTCTCCTCGCTACTCACTCCTAACTCTTTGCTCCTCTCTCCTGACTCCTCTATCCTAGCTCCTGTCTCCTAGCTCCTCACTCCTGACTCCTAGCTCCTCACTCCTAGCTTCTTTTTCCTAGCTCCTCTCTCCCAGCTCCTCTCTCCTTGCTCCTCACTCCTCACTCCTTGCTCCTCTTTCCTAGATCCTCTCTCCTCCCTCTTCTCGCATACCTCTTAATCTCTCTCTCATACTGTAGCTCCTTTCTCCTAACAATTTTCTTCTAGCTCCTCCCTCCTATCACTTAACTCATATCTCCTAACTCCTCCCTCCTCTTTCCTCTCTTCCCTCCTTGCTCCCAACTCCTCTCTCCTCCCTCCTTTTTACTAGCTCCTTCCTTCTAGCTCCTCTTTCCTCCCTCCTTTTTCCACCCTTTTTCTGACATCTCTCTTCCCTCTTCTTTCACAGCTCCTCTCTCCCCCCCTCCTTCCTCCTCTTTCCTCGCTCCTTCCTAACCCTGTATCCTCCCTGTGTCTGTGTCTCCTCAGGTGTCCAAACGACTACACGGGAGATCGCTGTCAGAATTCGGTTATGGCTGGTTTCTACAGTACGTTCCCTTCCTCTTGTTCCTATTGTGTTTTGAAAAATTGACTTGTGTCCTTGTCCCCCTCCCCTCCTCATTCTTAAGGTTCTTTCAAGTAGGATAATGCTGTAAATACCAAGTGTTTTCAGATATAGGTCAATAGTCATAATCATTCATATTATTAACAAAGCTTAAACATGTTTGTGCTTTCATCTCTTTTCAACATTCCAGTCTGTATATTTATAATTGATACTTTTTAAGATAAATGATACAATGAGTACTTTGAGTGTCACTACTATTTCATGTTTTCATATCAATGTACTGAAGCCATAATCCATGTGATAATCCAGATTTACACAGTGAAAACATGCTTCACCCAATTGAAAAATATCTTTCGACCAAACTCTCAAAGCTTGTCAACTTTACCCACAAAAAAGTCTAGTTATTTTGCAAAAGAACTTTATGATTATGTATTTGTGACACCAAGATAATTTGGGGTCAGGTTTCTATCACTATATGTTCTGCTTTCTTCAACAGCCTCAGAGTAGGATAAGATACATTTTATTGATCTCACAATAGAGACATTTGCAGTGTACAGTATTTCTCACTGGTAACATGCAACAAAGAGACGCAGCTGCTAATGGAAATAAAGCCAACGTCAGTAATATCTAGTGCAGTTGGATCTGGTTTGCTGATAATTATTAATAAGGATTCTATCTAGTTATTTGTACTCAAAGTCACAACTCTGAGGAAGACTGTGAGGTGCAAATAGGTCAGGTTCATGTGACATCACAACATTCCAAACAGTCTATAGTTTAACTCTTTGGAATGTGAAGCTGAACATTCTTTCCTATGGTAAAAGTCAGATCTCTAGTTTTAGTTTAGAGCTAATTTCTCTGTATTCCCTTGACCAATCCACATAGGCAAGGCAAGGCAAGTTTCTTTGTATAGCACAATTCATACACAAGGCAATTCAAAGTGCTGAAAAAGACAAAATAGCATTAAAATTATAAATAATCACAGTACATTAAAAATAAAGATAAAAATATAAAATCCCTCAGTTGTATGCACAGCTAAACAGAACTGGTTTTATACATTGTCAGAAAGGAGGCCTGTCTCACATTTTCAGGAAGACATAAAACATAATTCTATATTGTCAGTCTATATCTACTCTGGTTTAATTTTTTTCTCATAAATGTGTCTCGAAAGTGAGGACAACATTCAAAAACATATGCATGATGTTGTCTATCAGAAAGATTATTAGAATAATATGGTGGGTTTTTATAGATACAGTAGATATTACTGACTTACTAACATTCTTTTCCCATAGAGTTGTATACAGTATGCACCTTTGCTCAAACTGAAAACCAATTCAACAACATGCTTGCAAACCTGTAAGAATCGTTAGTAATAATCCTCTTTAGATCTGTTTTCGTAACCAGCAGCGACCCAAAGCTACCCTGAAGTTTTACATCTAGTTCCACTTAACTTGTGAATCTTTCATAACACGCGCCTGTCTTTGCCTCTGTGTCTGTGGTGGAATTACATAAAACTCTCTCACTTTGTATTGTGTGCTGAGCGTCTAATGTCTGAGTATTGCTTCAGTGCATGTTTTGTGTCCACGATGAGGCTCACTTCCCTCACATGTCGAAGCCTCTATGGCCTGTGTCTGCATGTGGATCTCTACCAAACGCTGCTGGTTTCAAAAGTGGGATTACATATAAGTTATAAGTTATACGCAGCTGAACCAGGGCAGATACATTACATTCTAAAGGCATCATTCAGCCTCATTCTATGTACCATCCACTGTCTATAACGTCCACGGTGATCATAGCCATGTTGCTGCTTTTGTTTTCATTTTCATTTTTCTTCCATGCAAAACTCCTGTGATAGTCATCAGAAATGTTTCTTGTTTGTCTCTGTCTCCGCATGAAGTCTGCTCCACCTTTTCTGATTATTTTGTGTTTTGAATTTAAGTTGGTAAGTGATCTTATGTTCAGAAACCCTTTTATTCTAAATTTGATGCAATGTTTCCAGTTTGGTCAAATTACATGTGATGTTTATAATAAATATAAACAGAAACTCACAGTTCTAATAAGATAATGCCAAATGTCAGAGCAAAATTAGACAAAGCACAGAGTGGCTCAAAAACCAATCCCAGAAAGCAGTTTAACAGTATTTAATAGTCCAGCCATAATTGAAAGAACAAAGTACATGTGATGCATGGTCGACTGGCACAGAGGTAGTGTTGTGCTTCATAGCTAGAAGGTCCTGGATTTGATTCCACCTCCAGGCCCTTCTGTGTGGGGATTGCATGTTCTGAAAAACAGACTACACCGTGGTCGGTAAATAAAAGATACTTATCGGGACTAACATTGCTGTGCGGATTTTTAAAACTGTTTTCACTTTTTTCACTTTTTAAATCCAGCACGCTAGTCCAGACTACAGGGATGTCGGCCTTTGAAAGTGGGACCACAGATGCAAAATAACATGAACTGTCCTAACCATAAAATAAATAAATCCCAATACTGTGAATCCCTTTCCTTGACCTGGAAGTCAAGCCATGAAGGGCTCAACCTCAAGAGCCAGTAAGGAAAGAAACCTCCAGACTTCCTGGAGAACCTGGCGATGTTCTTTGGAGCAGTAAGGAGATGTGATGCTACCCACAATGCATTCTGTCGCTCACATCGCTAGGACTCGGAAAGTGTTTTTAGTGATTGTCATATGCAGTCTTCATACTGATCATTGTTTAACTAAAATACATTGAGCACAACTTATTTAGTTGTATTTTTTAAATTTATTTAAAAAATATATAAACATTCTTTATGTAATTTTCTGGAAACATTACATCTTGATAAGAGTTTTGTGGGTTGCATCTGTGGGGGTCAGAGCTGAGCCTTGTCTGTTTGGTCCAAATGTTTTGAGGTTTTTCTCCTGATTCAGAGCAGCTTTCCAACACTGACCCCTCTCTCTTCCTCTCTCCACTGTCGCGCTGCCAGAGCTGCTCAGAATTGAATTTATAGGTATGGAACATTACACTATTTACCTTGTTTTGAAAACGTTTCCAAGTTCCTCTCACACTCCCACACATTTGTTCCATCTTTTTTTCTTAAAATGTTTGATAAAATCCCCTTTAGACCCTGCATGCACCTCAAATGCGATTGGACTTCGCGGCCCAGTTCGGTACAGCCGTGGTTCTGGAGACTGAGTTTTCCCTTAACATGAGCTAGTTTGGCTTCCAAGTACATTTATATGTTTAAACAGGAGATTCCCAGGTTAAAAAAAATAATCAAATTTGTCCACATTTCAAGAAAAGGTTAAGATGATCAGAATGCAATTTTATAACGTATTCGAAGCATCTGTTTTTCTTCTGGGATTTCACAAACACAAATAACCCGACTGGCAAATAGTACAAATATATAATGATAAAAACATTGGATGGATATTTTTTTGTTACTTTGACTTAGAAAAATAACTTGGAAAATCCCATAATTATCTGATAGAACAACATTATGAGACTACCTTACACTTGTAGCTTTCAGTGGCTTGTTTTGAACTAATATCCTGGTAAACGCTGTAGTATACTTCCTCCAATGGAGCTGCAAAGTGGGCAGAGCTAAAGTGTCTAAAAAATAAAATGATCTGTTCTATCAAAACATCTGAATGTGTTAAAAAGAATGCCTTCCAAACATTAAAAACAGAAAAGTTAAAGGTGATGTCTGCAACTTCAATTGTTTTCAATCTTGGAAATAACTAATTTTTGCCTGTAGTTTCATATTATTATTATAGAATAGTGTTTTTCATTATACGTATATTTAAAACAGTCCCTCTCTTTGCCGTAATCACCACCAGTAAGATTGGCTGGAAGCGGGCCTCAGCTGTCAATCAAGGATTTGTAATCCTTGCGTCCAATCAGGAACCAGTCGGGGCGGGTCTAAGCGCCACTTGCGTTCAAAAAACGTCTCTCCATTTTCACACTTTTAAAAGTAACTGACCTTCACTTGATGCTTTTATGTTTTAATTGTATTTCTTTCAGCTGAAACCAGATAGCTAGTTAGCCTCCGTTGTGTCTTTTTTGTCAATTTTCGGTTTTATTTTCGGCACCCTCAGCTCTGCCCACATTTATTTCAGTCTGTCCTCTATTTGTCCGTAAATCCCGAAGCCAAAAAATCCAAAAAGGTGAACTTTATCAGAGGTTCGTGACACCAGCACAGAGCAGATCCCAGCTCCAGCTTGATTCAGACCCTTTCACTCCAAAAATCACTAGTGTCCATAGAATCCATTCACACACCTTCAAATACTGGATCCCTTTCCACAGATCTGACCTGTAACTTGTTTCCTGCTTGTGTCCATGATTTAATGTCATTCTTTTCATCAATCATTGCTTCTATATCCATTGACTTTTTTAAATAGACCAATGTTAAAGTGAATGTGATTTGTGTTTCCAAATTGTGAAGACTTAAAAAACATATTGTGTGAGTGATTTCAAACAGAAGAGCTCTCTCCCATTGGTCTAACTGTTGTCTTCCAGAAAGTCATACCACAAGGGAGGGACTAATTCAAATGTATTATTTAAATGGGCCTTTCTTTTAAAATGGAAAGCTTTTTGAAGTTACTGAGACCACAATTTGTGCTTATTATCGTTACCCCAAACAAAGATCAGTCTGGAGAAGGATGCAAAAATAGTCATTACCGTTTTGGTTTTCCAAGATTTACAGTATGCTGCATTCATATCATGTCGGAAACACAGAGATATCTACGCAATCTTTTGTCTTCCCAAAATCAGAGCGTTCATGAGGAGCTGGTGACACACATACACACACACACACACACACACACAAACAACAAAACCAAAATGTGCAGAAAATTAAACTGATTCTCTTTGCTCACAGAAACTTTTGTTGGTGTGATATGAGAAATAATGGATCAAATATGTAGTTTTCTATGATAAAAAATGCTTAATAATCATAATCATAATCTTAGATATTTCTGCAATGCTTTTGTGCTCATAAATTCTCATAAAAATTCTCAGTGCTCATGAAAATTAAACAATCACTCTAAAAAATAATAATAATAAAAACACATCCTCTCTTGGTTCGTCTTATTCTTTCATCCAATTACAATCCGACACATGTCACAAATTTCCGACTTGAGCGGCGTTCGATCCCATTTTTCCGAGCGGAACTTGAAATTTTTGCTTGAACGCAGCAATAAATCTATTCATAGGTCACAGATTCTCGTTCACTGCAGCTATGAGTGAGTGACAGACTGAATGAACCAATTACAGTGAAGCGTGAAATCTCAGAAGTAGAACGTTTATTACCCCCTAAAGCAAACAGAAAGTTACTGCTGCGGACCTTGCAATCTAAAATGTTTTCCCATATTGTCTGCTTATTCTTGGGTTTCATATGACGTCAGGGCAGTGGCGCGAATAACAAACGTAGGACAGGACGTGACGTACCCTGGTGGTGCAGTCTGCCGGGTTTATACATGGAGATATAGTAGAAGAAGAAGCGCTGTCAAAATGCAATCTTTTTGTGCGGTGTACGCTTGTAGCAACCGCACAAATAGAGAGAAAGACAAGAGTTTCTTCCGTGTTCCAACTGTGGTCTCGTATAAAGAAGAACACTTTGAAAAAATCACTGGAATGGGGCAGGCGAGGTGGATTAAGGCTTTCCCAGATAAGCGCCCCCTGCAGGCCACCCCAATGAAACGCAGCAATTTCGTCTGTTTATTTTTTTTTAATGCCCGAAATCAAGACTCTTTTGAGAAATATTTTTTTATTACTCCTTTAGAATTGAGTGTCCCCGATTAAGACTGTTACAACAACCGTACACCGCACAGGAGGAGAGCCTTGGCTCCAAAACAGACTTTACATGGTTTTCAATAGGAGCAAAACTGAGTTGTCCCACCTCTGCTGATTCGCCTCCTACTGGCCAGTTTAATGAAACCCAAGAATATGCACTAAATAATTTGGCCAATCTTCAGTCACAAAAATGGCACTTATCTTTGCACGAGTGACCTTCATGTAAACAGCCATTACTTACAATTGAAGGTTAATTCTATCGCTCTGTACTGGTTTTATAGGATTACTGCTATCGTGTTTAAACCCTGGTCTCTCCACTGACTCCCTGGGCTCCCCTTCTCCCTCCAGTGTGGCCATGTTTTCTCTGCTAAACTTTGTTTGTCCTTTAACGCCCATTCGTTGTCCGCTGTCTCTCATCGTGTGCTCTTTAGACGACGCGCACAGTTCACATATTATCATTGTTTATTTAAAGATGGGCAACATGAATGTGCATTGCTCACAAAGCCATTTTATATTAATGTTGAGCAAATCAGGTCTAATTCGTTGGAAAAAATACAAGGGCATTTCTCCAACAATTTAACATTGATATTTCCTCAGAGCAGAAAATAGACCCCATGGATGTAGGCAGGTTTATCAATCAACCGCAAAAAAAAAAAAACATATGTTATTGGAGAGCGTTGTGAACAATGGCACGTTCAAAAACAGTTTGGTCTGAGCACATTTTTCACTCTTCTAAGTTTTTCCCACTTTGTAATTTCACCTTTAGGGCTTCATCGCTGTGTCTGCTTTGTCATTTTGTAAAAGCATTCAGTGTAGATTTTGTGTCAGAAAAGCATCGTTCAAACACAGACAATGCAGTGTCTGGCAAAAGTAAACTTAAACTTTACGGCCAAATATAAAGATTTTATCATTTGTTTTTTTATTTTACAACAAAGTAACAGACAACTTTGAAAGTGAAAGTAAAATGAGGTATGAATACATGTATTTATGCAACATACAACAACCTAACAATGGCTGAATATGCACTCACAGCAGAAAGTCTTTTGGGGTTTCCACTCTACAAGCTTTGCACATCTAGAGACTGAAAGTTTTTCTCATTTCTCCTCAAAACAACTCAGGCTCTGTCAGATTAGAAGGAGAGCGTTTGGGAAGAACAGTTTTCAGGTGAATTTCATAGAATTTATATAGATGGACAATGCTAACCTGCTAGCTCAATGAAGCCCAATAGGGAAGTGCTCATGGACAAAGTTTTCGCTCTGGCTCCTGTTACATTGCCAACTCCTCTAGCTCAGTTACAGTTTGTGTCACACTCATAATGGGATTAAAATAAATTGGTGGTTTAGTGCCCTCTATGATCCTGGGGTTTATATTCTGATATTGCAAATCCAGATACGAGCCATAAAGATTCCCCAATTACATTCCCTCATTCGCAGGGACTCTCTAGCTTGCCTTAACCACCCTGTTAGCAACATCGTTATAAACACTGTTAGCAACACTTTCGGTGTGAATCTAACACCGTCCGAACAAATCAAGTGTCCATTTAAGGGAGTTGGCTTCCGCTAGCTTATGTTCAAATTAGCTTCTTCTGCTTTCGGAAAACACTGGTGATGCAGGGGTCGGTCAGTCCACTTTTTAATATCCCGTCTATGATGTAGTGACTGAACGTTTTTCCCATTCATCTTTACAAAACAACTCAAGCTCTGTCAGATTAGATGGTGAGCGGCGATCAGCGGTTTTCCGGGATTTCCACCTATTTTTATTTGAATTTAGGTCTGGACTTTGACTGGGTAATTCTAACACAATAATAAGTTTGGAAAGAATATAAAATTTCAAATACTTTTGCTTTCACTTTACAGTTATCTGTAACTTTGTCATGATCTTTGAGGAGAAATACAAATAGAAATCTTTGTGGTGGTGCCCATGGCAGTATTTGTTCAAGTTGTATTAGTACTTTTGCAAGACACTGTATGTGGGACTTCCATAACATTATAAATGGTATTTTATGAACTTTATTTTATGAAGGACTAGAAAGACCCTAGTTTAGAGGTAATGAGATGGACTGGATAGTTGTAAGCAAATCTGACCCTGTGTGTGTCTCTTTGCGTGTCATTTTTTGCGTTTGTGTGTGCATGTGTGTATGCATTTGTGTTTGTGTGCGTGTGTGTGTGGTTGCATGTTTCGGACTCACAGAAGCGGAGGAGCTGTACCAGAAAAGAGTCTTGACTATCACGGGGATCTGCGTGGCTCTGCTCGTGGTTGGCATCGTCTGCGTGGTGGCCTACTGCAAAACCAAGTAAGATCCAACGCCATGTAGACAGAGATTCACCATGATGGAACGAAATGCCTTGATTTGTGTCTCAAGATCCAAGCAGGACTGATAATAATTCCATCCCCTCCATATACAGTACATACATTTGATGAGTTGCACTACCTGGTCATTGGCCACAGACGCAGCGCAACCTGCCCTGAGCTTATACAAACAAGAAAAGAACATATTACTGTACTTTGTGGTACCACCTAAATATTAACAGAAAATCTATTTTGTCCACACATTGGGCGGCACGGTGGCTGAGTGGCTAGCATTCTTGCTTCTCAGCAAGAAGGTCCTGGGTTCAAATCCCGGTCGGAACAGGGCCTTTCTGAGTGGAGTTTGCATGTTCTCCCTGTGTCTGTGTAGGTTTCCTCTGGGTGCTCAATAGGTATGAATGGAAAATGAGAGAGTGAATGGATGGTGTTGATTGGAGCTGATGGTCCAGTGTGTTCTGGACTCGCTTCCGTCATCACCGTGTGTGGAATGATTGGAACAATATCTGACTCTGAACATTGTAAGGTGCTTTGGGTGACCTTGGTCTGTAAAATGCGCTGTATAAATAAACATTACTTACTTGGATATAAGGTACAGGCTTTTATATTGTAATGGAGCCAATAGACGACTGTTTTAACATCTTGACTCCGGAAACTAATTCACCAGTCTATTTTGACAATGAACGAGTGTCCTGTAGCTACTAACACTTGTTGGAGTAAAAATAATAAGACCATAAACTTTGCTCTGACAACTCTACCACAATGAAAATTCACATATTAGCCGCATTGCCGTATAAGCCGCAGGGTTGAAAGAACTACAAAAAACGTAGCAGCATTTAATCCTGAAATTACGGTCAAAACTGAGGTCACATCATTACTTCCAAACTGCTGAGAAATATGAATTATTGACATTTGAGGGTGTCTTCTAGTACACATAATCTACCCCCACCACTTTGTGAGAAGGTGAGACTAACCACCACATCCAGAAGGGACCGTTTTGTGAACTTTAGGTCCTCCTCATTTGGACAGAACCGCTTCTGTCAAAGGGCTCCTGCAGTGCTCCGTCAGTGACTCTTACAGCTCTGTCTTTATCTGTAGAAAACGGAGGAAGAAGATGCACCACATCCATCAGAACCAGACCCCGTTTGTGGAGATGCCGACCCGGAATATCCCCAACGGCCCCCCCTACCCAGGACCCTGTCCAGAGGAGATCCCCATGGACGAAGTGAGTGTGCTATGAACATTTTATAATTTGTGATCATGTGAAAGAGTAACATGTCTTGGGACAACTATTGCAGGTGCAGTAGAAGCGCGAGTATTTCTTTCCCCTGATAATATAATCCTCATCAGATTAGTTGATAATGTAAAATTTATATTGATTGACATTAACCTGCAAGCAATCCAGTCCCATGCTTTATAATTATAATAATAAGTGAATAATAAAAACATTTCATTTCTTAGGCGCCTTTCTAGATACTAGGCTGAGTTTACACGGAGACAATGTGGCAGTAAAACGGTATAGTTGGATGTCGGTTTCTACCAACCGTTCATACGAAGACTGTGTTCCAGGGGGGTGAAAACGTAAGTGTTCAGATCCAGCCTGCAGAGTGGGACAACTCAGATACGCTGCACAGCGGGGAGCTCTTTCACACCCGCGAGAGGGAAAAGGTGTGAAATCCCCCTCTGCTCTGACCCCCACCTCCGCGCTGCTCCCCGCACGTACATTTGGACATGCGCAGTAGCGAAGAACAAACAAAAACAACAATGGCGGCGGTCACACTAACTAGCTACGTGGGCTTCCAGCGCGGCACAGAGGATAATTCTACTCCTTCGTTCGTCCAAACGAGACCACGCGAAGCTCTAGTTTCAGTTTCCATTTTCACAGCTGCTGTTAAAATGCAGAATGATGTTAGTGCGTTCTGAGGGTCTGGCACAGGAAGTGAGTACACTGCCGAGAGGGGGGCTGGGCACGGGGCTGGGGGTCGTGTGAGTGTTGTAAAGTTTATCTGCCCACTACTGGCCGGGCGCTAGAACTACATCGTTTTTCAACCTCATGTGAACGCTGAGAAATTTGCATTAGGAGCCAGGTCGTTTCTGTTAATAGCCTGGAAACGTCTGCGCAGCGTCTCAGTATAAACAGGGCCTAAGGCCTTACATCACAGGTAAAAAATACATTTAAAAACAGTGAAATTACAAAGTTAAAAACAGCATGAACTTAGTGTTGGTGTGAATAGAGGGATCCTACGGTCACGTGACTAGCAGCCACGGCAGCCATACTGGAGGACAACCTCGGCGAGTAACAGCCCTGCTTGCTATCTATAACTGGACGTTCAAAACTAGAACTCGAACTCGAACTACATGAAAACTGAACAGAGAATTTGAAACTTCTGCAGTTAGTGACCCAAATATATACTCAACCTAAATTCATGAATCAGATCCTCTGAAAATGCATCCTAAAATGTATTATTAATGTTTATCGTTACATCCAGGTTTACCGCGGTCGCATATTGTCGCATTAAAACAGTGTTTTTTCATGAAAACGTGAACAGAAAATTCTGAAAACCTCTGTGCACGTGTATTAAGAATGTATATGTATAATGTATTCTCCGATTAACATTTAATGTGTTTATTGTTACACCATGGATCTATGTGTGGCTACACTGCAGTGGAAATAATGAGATTACATTCAAATCAATGGAGCTTTCTGCGTCTTCTGTGAGGAGCCGTATATTTTATTAATAAATACTAGTACGGGGCACCCTGGAGCACGGCTCAGTCGTTCACATGTCTGCTGGCCTTCGGTAAGTCAGATACCCTGTGAACCGGGTGAGGTCCTGTGTGAGACCAAATATATAACAGCTATGCTACAAGCTAAGCTACAGTCTATGGAGCAACCCCACGTTGCAGTCAGACAGATATGTTTTATCCTTAAACTTCTGTTTGTTTTGGAATAACACTAAATCCGCCATCAAATTGATTTCACTTAGCAGAAATAAAATGATCCAAGCATATTCGGGCGCTCTGGTGGCTATATTTTTTTTGTTGTTGCGTATGGTTGTGCCATTTCTCTCTCGTTTCTTTGAGATGTCTTCTGTTTTTGAGCCGTGTGAAGTAAGGACGGCTGGCAGTCGGTAACACAACTTATTTTCCCTGTCTCTCCTTTTGCTGCAGCCAAAAAGGGCAAAAATGTTGAACATGTTTATGCGGTCCCGGGTGCACGCCACTATCATACAGCGTTTGCTTGTCCTCCAGTATGGCGGATGCCCCGCGAGTTTGAGGCATCGTGACGTCACGTGAGATATCTCTATAGGCTTGTCTAAACAGATTAGGTTTGAGGCTGAATATGTGTTAAGAGGTGTGTCCGGAGGTCGGGAGGGGGAGAGAACTCTACTTTGACTCCTTCTACACCTGTCACATAGAGTAGAAGTTTTAACATAGTCCTTTACCACCCAAATGTGTATGGGATTAACAAAAGGGCTCCACAGAATAAAGCAGCTTCTTTCCTTTCATTTGGAAGTGTGGAGCTTGTGCTAAAACAGGGCCGGCATGTCACAGCTTTAATTAAATATAACTGTTTCTAAAAATAACCGTGGTTCTCTGAAGCGCTTCCGAGTGTAATGAGCTACAGCAGAGTCAGAGGAGAAGAGGAGACTCCGAGAGGAAGGGCTAGCAGCTGATGCTAAAGCTAAAGCCACACTCTGAACATTCACCATGAGACACAACGACACGTACTTTCACTGCCTGCTTTGCTCTTATAATCTGTGGCGCCTAATCTGTAATCGGGAATATACTGTATCTGTGATCGGGAAGATATCTGTCAAATTTATGAAACAATAGCAAAAACTATTATAGCATTGTTTTATTGCAAGTGTTATTCTAGTTGTTCTATCCATACTCCAACATGATGATTATGAAGCTGCGTTAATATTTTACACCTACTTATAAGCCAAATAAATTATTCCCTATCTTTTTTTAAATTATTATCAAAGACAACAAAACACACATCTCAACATTCAACAAAAACACAACATGAAGCAAAGACAACACAATTTTAAAGAAGAAACACGTTTTTAACCCAGCATGAGTTGTGTGGTCCTTTGTGTGTTTTATTTAGGGTTTTTGCTATTTTACTGATTTGATTGTTTGCAGTGATTTAATGCTATATTATTTTGTGTTTATTGCTACTTGTATAACATTGCTCTGCCTCTGTTAATGTCATACTCCATATTCTCTATATCAGGATTCTCCAACCTTTTTCAATCGGAGAGCTACTACAGAAGAGGCAGAGAGCTACTCCTTTGTTGAGCCGTAATAAAAAACAATTTAAAACTTTTGACAAAACATTAAAGTATACCAATACTTTATCACCTTATATTTTTACTTTGAATTGAATTGAATTGAATCATTCAGGATCATGTGTTAAATTCTAAATCCTATGGGGAGCTACTTGAAAGGGGCTGGCGAGCTACTGGTAGCTCCTGAGCCACAGGTTGGAGACCCCTGCTCTATATATTCTGTTGTCATACTCTATATTCTCTATATCTCTAACATGTGTCTCCAGATAACAGGTCTCGTGCAAATCATAATTGGTCTTTTCTGAACATACATTTAATCTGGAGTTTTTCTTAATTAAAAGTACAATGGCTGTATATAATATTCATGTTTGAGGTTTTCAGGTTGATTATCTGATTAAAAAAAGAGCAGAAGGAGGCCCTCATTTGGGTTCGGTGAAAAGTACCTGTTTTTGGCTCTATATCTTTAAGAAGTCACAAACAAACTAATAGCGCACACACATATTCATATTTATCAAACCAGGTACACAAGTGATAGGTGCTGTTTCTAGCTAAACTCCAGCAGGTGGTATGCATCAGTAATCAGTGCTACATGTGTCACAGATAGTGTAATTATGGTTGTAATAACTTTATTAGACCACTAAGAGTACATTTTACATACTTCCCCTTTAAGCACTTTGGAAACTGTTTCTACAATGTTCTATGTAGATGAAGTGGATTGAAAACAAAGATTAAGATTAACAGATGCTTTATTTGTCCCACAATGGGGAAATTTCAGTGTTGCAGCTCAAGCTACAGAGCAGTAGAAATGAGGAGTACAAGATATTTTTTTTATTATTATCATTATATTGTATGTATTTATTTCAGGTTCATGCAAGATTCAGTTGTTTGACTTTTAAAATACACACCTTGAACATACATAATTACTAAATATATATATTTTCCTCTCACCTCTATAGAGACCTGAACAATGATAATAATAAAATCTCTAAATTTAGTAGAAAAAAAGCAAGTCAATAAAATCATTATGCTTTAAATCTAAGATCTCCACATTTAGATGATAAGAAGCTAAACAGTTCCTCTCCGCTGTGGTTTTCCGTAATGTAATGAGTTTTTTGCATGTGTTTTCTCCAGTACATCCCGAAGAGCGTCCCGACCACAGAGTGTGTGATCAGCCACGGGGCAGAGGGAGCGGGCAACTACGCAGGCAGCCGCATGTCCTCTCACCACTCCACCACTGCCTCCCACGCCTCGCGCTACGGATCCAGGTCTGACACACTTCTGGAAGACAAAAACGAGAAAGAGCCACATCCAAACGAATAAAAAACACACATCTTGTTCTTAATAAAACCGGGGTACTTTACGATCAAACCACAAGCCATGGATCTGTGTGGTTACAGCCATCAATCTAGTTCCTGGCTCTGAAACACTTTCTGTCACGAGTTTTCACATGTTTTTTGCCTTTGTCACACCTTTAGATCAGCTTTTTCAGACAGAAAAGTGGAGAAGAAATGCCCATCCTCACTCAACAATCAGCATCAAATATAGACTCCCAGGGCTCTATTATAGTATAAGATAAGATAAGAAGCCCTTTATTCGTCACACAGTGGGGAAATTTCAGTGTTGCAGCTGTAAATGCTTCATAAGAATCGATAAAGTGACAGTCAGTGGACATTCTGAAATTGCAGTATTGCACATGATTGCAGGATTTTCTATTTACAGATGAGATGACATGTACAGGCTCAGAAAAAGAGTTTCCAAAAAGCTGAAGCTGGTTTCCCCTACCACTAAAAACATGCACAATCGGTCTGAATGTAATGCGTGAGTGAATGGAGGGTGTTGATTGGAGGCTTTGATGCTCCAGTGGGTTCGGGGTCATCACTGTGTGGAGAGACTAAAACAAGATCTGATTTCTGCACATTGTAAAGCGCTTTTGGGTGACCTTGGTCTGTAAAATTCGCTTTATAAATAAACATTACATTACATTACATTCCCACCTCTACACCTTCTCCACCGACTCCCACTGATGACTGCTGTCGTTGTGTCCTTGGGTAAGACACTTAACCCCACTTTGCCCAAAGCCCCCACTGAAAGATCAAGGCTATGCTCACACTCAAAGAGCAGCCGTCCTCCTGTGGACTCACCACCTGCAGAGGGTCAGTGAGGGGCTGGTGCTATGAGACTTGGGTGGCATCTCTGACTGCCACCCCCCTGACCCAGAAATGGATTAAAGGGTAGAAAATGGATGGATGGATGGATGGATTACATTACATAATATTGATTCCAAAATAGTTTACCATTGTGCGCTCTAATTGAGGTTTTAAATTCCAGTCAGATCCAAACGTTTATAATTCGTATTATTTACTGTCACCATGTACACCGGATACTACTAAGACAAGGCCCAGTAGTCTCCAGAGCGCAGTGAAAAGACATACTTTTATTAGAAATGTATTTGACCTATAGGCTACACATCTGCGTTCGGATTGTTTTCTTTTGGTTTTGTTATGTGCGGCTAAAGCAGGAAACATGGTTTGTTAAAAATTGTGCTGCAAATATTAAATGGCAAGGCAAAGTTACAAGGCGTCTTTGAAAGCACCACAAGCGTCCTTCTTCTCAACAAAGTCTATATTCTTATGCTGTGTAGACAAACTGGTGCGATTCCCCTGGGCTCAGTCCTTCAAACTGTCAAAAAGCAAAATATGGTGTTTAATAATAGTAATAACAATACATCAATCTTATACAGCGCGTTTTTGGGCATTCAAAGGCGCTGTACACGTAAAAATAAGCATTGAAGAACAAAATTGAGGAAAGACAGGCTGAAAAACAGGTGGGTTTTGAGAAGTGATTTAAGCTTCTGTAATGAGTCGGAGTTTCTGATTGGTTGTAGGAGTGAGTTTCAGAGAGTGGGGGCGGATGCGGCAAAGTCTCGGCCCAAGGTTTGGTGTTTAGTCCTGATGGGAGTGAGGAGGTTGGGGTCTGTGAATGGGATGGGTGGTGGGACAGTGATGATGGAGGAGGTCAGTGAGGTAAGAAGGGGCAGGTTATGGAGGGACTTGTAGGTTGGGAGGAGGACCTTGTAATGGATGTGGTGTGGAACAGAGAGCCAGTATATTGGTGTTTTGATTGAGGCGTTTGTTTCTATAGACACGAGGAACACACGTGGAGCATGGAGCGCACAGAGAGTATGAACTCCGATTGCCAGTCGGGGCTATCCAGCTCTGTGGGCACCAGTAAATGCAGCAGTCCGGCCTGCATGGCACGGAGGGCGCACTGGGGCTGCACCGAGAGCTCCGCGGCCGGGATGACTTACGGGGAATCCTACGACTCTCTGCGCGACTCGCCTCACAGCGACAGGTACAAACTGTGTGTCACTTTACCCTGAGTGTGGTCTGGTCTGCAATGAAGTGCACTGAACACAAACCCAGACGCTTATGCTTGACTTTCTCTTCTGTTATTGTTTTAGAAGATTTAGTTTCTTTAGTTCTAAATTTACAAAAAGGTTTTCCCACTGACAGTCACTAGTATGAGGTGGCGGCTTTTCTAGGTGATGACGCCCTCATGTGGCAGACTGAAGAAATAACAAAAGTAAAAATTGCATTAGGAGGTGTCATAATAAATAGTGTTCTAAAATATTAAGAACATATGACATTATCAGTCATAATGTATGTATTTACTCACTGTTATTTTAACTGTAATTGCAGATACGTGTCAGCGCTGACCACCCCGGCTCGTCTGTCTCCAGTGGAGTTCCACTATCCCCCGCTGCCCCCACAGGTGCCCACGTTTCAGATCACCTCCCCCAACACAGGCCACGCCCTCTCCCTCCCCCCCGCCGCCGCAGCCTATCACCGTGACAACGAACAGCCACTGCTGCGCTGCCCTGAGGTCTGTTTGTCAATGACGACACCCAAAGCGTTCACCTTTTCCTGGAAGAAGCCGATTAGAGCTAACTCAAACAGGCTCCATGAGTAGGAACGTATAGCCAAACTCCCCCTTAGAAACTACCCAGCAACCAAAGAGCCAATCGGGTGCAAGGCTGGTCTCCTTCCACTCACACTATTCACTATCGGAAGCCAATTTCAGGGACAGAAAGCCCCTGATTGGTCGGTTAAAAGGGTTCATATCTGGATTTATCAAAGTAATGTCAAAGTAAGAACACCAGCGTTTAATCAAAGATTTTTACAGAATAAAAGGCAATTTCCAATGCAAGTGAATGAAGCTGAACCGAGTAGGAACAAATCGCCCATGAGTACTTCCCTATTAGACTTCACCAAGCTCCGGTTAGCATGGCCCATCCCAATATACAGTCTAGACTCTATGGTCACACTGCACTGGTGAAAAGTCGCTTCTGACCTGCTCTCTTCTGCCCCTACAGGACAGGAGTCTGTATCGACAGCCGCGGCGGCCCCGCAGGCCCTACCTGACGGAGAGCACGGGCAGCCTGCCCTCCAGCCCGTACCACGTCCCAGACGAGGAAGCGTACGAGACCACGCAGGAGTACGCCTCGTCCCGGGAGCCCATCCGCAGCCGGCGCCGGCCGCGCAGGAACCGCTTGAACGGACACATCTCCCAGCGCAGCGCGCAGGACTACAGGGACTACAGCTCGCAGAGCTTCAGCGGCTCTGAGGAGGAGGAGGAGGGCGAGAGCACGCCCTTCCTCAGTATGCAGAACATGAATGTGGAGCCAGGCCGACCCGCAGAGCCTCGGACTCACCGCGGCCTCAGTCGGCCCGGACGCTCACAGTCACACCGCTCCAAAGCTGACAACATGCCCCTCTAAGCCCCGCCCATCACCACTAGGAGAAATATTTTTATTTTGTATAACAGACAGATATTCTAAACAAAGGAAATATTTATTTTCATTGTCTACTAGCTAACAGCAAAGACTTTTTTTATAAGGGGGGATATTTATATGTCGAGTTTTTTGATTTACAGCATTATGAGAGATGAAAAAAGAGAATTACGTGCCAATTTTTTCACGAGTTAGATAACTAGAATAATATTGTGGTGCCTTTTGCTGTATGCTGAAGTCGGAGGTCCCATTGAGTTTTGTAGCCTTTCTTATGAAGACTCCTGGTTTTTATAGAGTCCCATCCTGGTCCTCCTCTTGCGTCGGTTTTGCTCTGATTTGGGATCTTCCTCTTTTGAACTGTGATTCTGTTCTGATCATGCAATATCGCCCCCTTGTGTCAGAGCTGTCCGTTTACATGGTTTTGTCCACAGCCCCAGGAGCAGGTGAAGCGGCTGATGCTGAGCCACTGTCACAAACAAACATAGATTTACACTTTTGTCCGTCACTCGTGTCTCTATTGGAACAGTGGAGTTTCTCAGTTGGACATCGGCAAATGTGTCTGAAATCAACTCAACCCAAAACACAAGACTTATATTTTGGCTGTAGCTATCAACCCACATCAAAAGGTTTATTCTTACCAAAATAAGAACTGAAATACATCTAATACTTATTAAGAAGAAGGCTTTAGTAATTTTTCAGTGAAAGCAACCAATAAGAATCTTGGGTTAATCCAAAAACCTGTTGCATCTTCTTTGCTTCGTATACCTTTATCAACATCACAAACACGTGCACGTTTAGACTAATGTACTGCAATTTTATTTTATTTTTTTATTTCCATCCATCCATCCATTTTCTTCCGCTTTATCCGTTGCCGGGTCGCGGGGGCAGCAGTCTAAGCAGAGACGCCCAGACTTCCCTATCCACACACACCTCCTCCAGCTCGTCCGGGGGGACCCCTAGGCGTTCCCAGGCCAGCTGAGAGACATAGTCTCTCCAGCGTGTCCTGGGTCTTCCCCGGGGCCTCCCCCCTATTTTGTTTACATAATTTCACAATACAATTCGATTATTTTATTTTTTTGCATAGCCCTAAATCGCAACAGTTGTTATCTCGGAGAATTCGCCAACACAGATCATAGAATAAAACACAGGAAATGCAATGATAAAAAACACATTGGCCATTGGTCCATGTGGGGCCGAGACCATGATCCATAAATGTTGATGAAGTCCATAAATGACAGACGTTGTAGTAAAGAGGATTTTCTGCCGTTGTCATCACGGCTCATATGGCTTTAATGTCGATACAATCCACTACGGAGCTGTTCAGACAATCCCATTAAAGCCGTCCCATTCATTTCCCTCATAATGGTTCCACAAAAAGCTTAATTTAATTGACCTTTATATAACCAGGAAAGTCCCGCTGAGATTTCAGTATGTTTTTTTATAGGGGAGAGTCCTGCCCCACAGACAAAGGGGGACAGGATTTATGTAGGCTATTGTACATGTTTTTGATGGTAGGGGAGACCAGAGCACCCACAGGAAGTGCCTCTTGAATGTACGAATACACCTTGAACTTTAGCACATTTTGTCATGTTTAAAGCCATATACATCAAGATTTTGTTTTGTTTTTTTACACACAAGTAAGGCCCTCACAGCTGTAATAACACTGAGAGGAGATTACAAAACAGATGGGCTCTATTTAATCCTTAGGTTAAGGTGTGACCATTCAGAAGTCATTAGGAATACTGCATGAATGTATTCATTTGGATCCCCATCCAAGTGGTCGCTAGTCTTCCTGGGGTCCAAGTATGAATACATGTGCACGCCCCACTGTTTTTTAAAGACTAACAAAATCAAGTATACGTTTGCATTTACTTCACTGTTTTTTTGTTGAGGTCTTTCAGTAAAATATCAGACTTATTTCCAATTTATGTTTGTGGTTGTAGACATGACCAAACCCCGCAGAAGTTCAAGCTGTATAAATACTAAGAGACTGTATACGCACACACAGGGAAAACATGCAAACTCCACACAGAAAGAGCCTGTGCCGACCAAGATTTGAACCCAGGACCTGTGAATGATCTAAATCTTTTCTTTAGTTGTCTAAGTGCAGTGGCTACGTGTTACAATCAAATGAGTCCCTCTAGGTACAAAGCATGAATACAGATTTAAACTTTCCTTTTTATTTCAATTAATTATGTATTATTATTATTCTTAAACACGAGGTAAAATTACTTGTACTTTTCCTTTCCTTACTATTTCAAACATAGAAACAAAAAAAATCTTCCAGTACCTCTCATGAAGACAAAACACTGAAATATACCATTAACTCCAGTGCACATGTGTAAACGTTCATACATGCTTTTCACCTTGTACCTGGGAGGACAGATTTGACTGTAACACATACCCAGGCTATGAAAAGTGCGCTTTGGCCACTAAACATTACAGTAAGAGATTATACTGATTTAACTGTCTATTCTGTATAGTGACAGAACAGAATGAAACTACATCTACAATCTTATTTAAAATATAGTTCTGAAAATACTGTTTTATTTAGAAATTACCACCACCAGTAGTTTACCACCACCATCTACTGAGAGAGTGTCTTTAGCACCGTTTCCACCAGCCCTACATGGCTCACCTCTACTCTACTCAACCCTGATTGCGAGCGTTTCCACTGGCCCTGTTTAACCGTTAACAGGTATTTTTCTAGTACCTGTTTGGTCCTGATTCTAACCAGGCCGAGGTGGTACTGAAGTGTTCCAACTGTCAGTGATTGGCCAGAGTGCCGCTGGAAGCCATGGTTGCCAAGAAATCATTATGGGTATGTTGCTAGGATACGATACCAGATAAAACAAATAATGGAAACGCAACCAGGTAGAGTAGGGCCAAGTAGGGCTGGGAGATAAGGGTCCAAAAGTGTCCAAAAACAATACATTTTTATTGTGATTATTCTGGACTAAAAACAATCACATCGTTACCCTCTGTCTCGCCTTCAGACTCTAACATTTTCGGCCCTATCTCATCAAAGCAAGAAGTGCTTGAGTAGGGTGGGGCTTTTCTGTGTGGAGTTTGCATGTTCTCCTTGTGCTGGTGTAGAAAAAAAGAAAATAAATATGAATAGCAACCATTAAAAAGACAAAGATGCATACGAGACCACACAATAATGAATCCAATAAATACAGACAGACACAGCCACACAACTGCACACACACAAATGTACAATAGACCTTTCCCCTTGTGGCCATTATCCGTGAAAAATACTTTCTGAAGTCCCCCTAAGACTTGGGCCTGTCACAATAATTACTATATTGTTTTATTGTTCAATAGTTAAACGATGGAATAATATCCTTTGAGCCATATATTTATCGTCTGCCATTTTCTTTCACAACAGTGAGACAGTATTCGCCATATTCTTTGCTCTATTTGCGTTCTCTAAAAGTCTTGATCATATATTTGAGCGATTTCAGACACACAGGCTGCTTCAGGAATCAGCAAAAACACCTCCTTCCTTATCCCTCCCTGTGCTTTATAACACCACTTTCATGATATTTGTAGCTCCAGGTTTAATCAGTGCCACAAAGGTCACATTTTAGGCTCAAAAGGCAGAGATGACAAGTAGTAAGTAGTAAGGCCTTTAAGTTTACTTTAACTTAACTTAAAGATATATAGGAGGATTTTCTACTTCCAGGTGGATCATCAAGACTATTGGTCCTACTAAATGTCAATCATTCTAGTGATACGTGCTTGTAATGTGGGAAAATCCTTCTATATACCTTTTAAGTACAGTATCTCTACTTTACTTCACTATTTATTGTTCTGGCTTTTTTATTTTTTATTTTTACTCCTTCCTTTTATCCATACATTCTACTTTAATAAGTTCCAGAAAAAATGCATTTTACTTTTTTAATTCATACATTACAATACAATACAATACAATTTATTCTTGTATAGCCCTAGGTCACAACAGAAGTCATCTCAGAGACTTTGAAATCCAAAACCATTGAAATCACCAACACAGGTCAGAGAATCAACAGTTAAAACACATGAAGAATATAAAGCACACACAGAAGAAAATGTCCATACATGTTGTAGAATGCTAAAGTGTCATCTGATCATCACCAATCCTTTCTGTTGGACACTAACTGTCCAACAAGACCCTCCTGCATCGACAAGGAAAAACTCTTAAAAGCTTTTACTTTAGTAAGCAAATGAATTCTGTACTTCTACCTGAGTATATACTTTTACTTAAAGCGAATGTCAGTTACGTTTCAAACTGTAAAAAGAGAGTGAAACCTTTTGAAGACAAGCACAGGAAAGGTCCGCCCATGCTCACCCCTGCAGCTTCCTGATTGGTCGTAATTAATTCAAATATTTGTGGCCCCTTGCCATTGGTTAAATTATTCTCCAGCAAATCTTACCTATCCTGGTTATGTTAAGGGGCGGGGCTATTTAAAATAGACTATTGTTGAAAAATACTTACCGTACACAATAGTACAGTGTCCCCATGGTCAGAAATATACTATATATTATAAAAAGGAAATGCAATTTAAGTGGCTGACATCACCTTTAAGTACCTAAGATGACTACTTTAACCACCTCTCCACAAAGGCTAATACAAATGAGAAGGAAGGAGATATTTTTGCTGAATTCGGATGCAGCTACAGCCTTCATACGCAATCTCTTCTGTCTCTGGTTTGATTGACAAGCTCCTGCCACCAACCCCAGTGTCCATAGCTGTGTTAGTCCCGCCCTTCCGGAGCAGTGATTGGCTGGAGCCGTTCCAGAGCTCCGCCTCCGCCTCTGGCCCAGACTGCCCTCACGTTTCCTATGCCAGCAGCTCAGAGCCGCACCGTGTCTCAGGACTTTCCCATCGCATCAGCCAAAAGACCCCGCGCCTCTCCGGCCTCTCTCCGCTCTACCTGATTTTATATCTCCTTCTCACATAATGCTCATTATTCAAACGCTTTGGGGAAACCAAGAAAGATACT